TGCCTGGAGTGAGCCTCACTGCTGGGACCTGATGTAGAGTTGCCATGGGAAATAGCAGTGTAAGAAATACAAAGATAAAAAATACCCCTCAGTGTTTTAAAACCTGCGTGATAAACAAAGACACAAGCTCTCCTCCTCACCCCGCCTTCAGTGCCCCCCTCCCCACCCGCCTCCCAGCTGTGCTCCTCCCTTGCTGTTTCTTACACCAACGCAAGAATCAGAGCTGGCCCCCCACCTTACATCCTGAAGCACTTCCCTTTTGCCAAAATGTTAATTTAAAAGAAAGTAAAAATGGTCTCAAGCTTGCACAGAAATATATAATTAGTGAAAAGGTGTCAGAGAATTAAATTGTTTTATTATTTTGGGAGCCTGACCTTTTCTACATCGAGATTCATATTCTCTGGCTTGGCGTGTGTTCCTGTGTAAAGTTAGACATCTGTTTCTCTTCTGTGACTCAGTTTTACTGACTGTAAAGCATATTTGATCCTATTATGATATGAAGCCTTACTAGGCAAACAACCAGCACAACTCTGAGATTCCTGGACAAAGCCCTGATTTTCCTCCAAGTGCAGCTTCGCCAACAGGTAGAGCTCCTCCAGTTCAGGGTCTCTGCCTCTTGAAATTACAGCATTTAACACAAATGCGCAGTCTTCCTCTATGCACTTTGCTCTGCCGGTGGAACACAGACCCTGAACAAAGGACAGAACCAAGCTAATGCCAAAATAGTTGGAGGTACCAGGAGTGTGGGCTTTGCACCCTGCGCCCTGGCCAGTTAGCAACAGGATTGCTCTCAGCCTTGCCCAAAGTGGGGGCTCTTAAACAGGTGAAGCAAAAAACGCCACCAGAAATTATCTTAAGAGCAGAAGAATTGAGGACCCTCCTGAATCAGGATTCGAAACAACTGCAGCAGCTGGAGCATACGCTCTGGGTGAAGCCAGGCCATAGGCACTTTGCATTTCGAGGCTGTCAGCACATCCTTCCCTGTCACATCCCCTCGGCTCTCCATCTGGCATACACCTGTGCTCCCCCGCCCCCTTACCTCTTTTTTTATTGTCCTTTTGTTTCTTTGAAGAGAGAAGCTCTAAGTGAATACAATACATTGCACTAAGCAGGGCCTCAAGGCAGGGATATTTAGATGCTCACCCAGCATCTCCATAAGCTGCAAGACAACATATTGGCTTCTATGGAATCAGGAACTGTTGAACTTCACTGTTTGAGATAAAACTCAAAGGATATAATCCTTCACTGACCAGCAGCCATGCTGTGGCAGAGCAGCCCAGCCTGTCCAGAGTCTAAAAGCAAACCATGAAATAAATCTGTATGTACGTGTCTCAATTAATTGCTACTAGAATTAGACCTCCTTGGTCTGCCAAAACTATAAACACAGTCAAAATCTTCACGGTTTCCAGATAACTCTAGGATTTGTGAATAACAAATTGGCAGTAGCAAGGAAAGTAATCGAAGTGCCTATATATCATATTGATAAAAACACAAGGACTGCCCTTCAAGGAGGAATTTTGCATCAGGAGGGAGATATATTGCTGCACTCATAAACTGCTACCAGGACATACAACTAAGTTGTCATAGATTAAAACAAATCTGTGTTTTCAG